TCTAGGACTCGGCGAGTCACATGGCTGACTCGGCGAGTTTGGTCAACCTGAAAGGTTGACTTTGACCAGGATGATTGACTTTGACCAGGGACAAAATGATCATTTTACCCTAAGAATAGTATCTCTTTTGACTAAGTGTCCTTATTAAATTATAGTCGGAGAGTCGTCGGAGCAGCAGACAGAGATTCCTCGCCCAGAGTTTCAGCAGTCAGTCAGACGAGGTGAGTTTCCTTCCAGTAGGAACGAGTCTACGGCTACAATGCCGGCCCGTTTAGATGGTAGTAGTTCCGGACTTCGGTCCGATATCGGGGTGGTCCCGAGAAGTAGTTATGTATGCTTGATGTCTTTGTGAGTGCATGTTATGATATGTGTTATATGTTCCGGACTCCGATCCGATGCCGGGCAAGCCCGATGCAGTATATGTGATTATGTTATATGTTATGTTTATGTTATGTTCAGCTTATACCGGACTTCGGTCCGATTACGGGCGGGGCCCAATTTATGTCGGACTTCGGTCCGATGTCGGGCGGGGCCCGATGCAGTGGGCAAGGCCCAGTATGTGTTATATGTGTTATTATATGGTATATGGTAGTTTGAGGGAGCTCGCTAAGCTTCGTGCTTACAGTTTTCAGTTTTGGTTTCAGGTACTTCTAGTAGCAAAGGGAAGGGCTCGAGTTGATGGCATGGCACACACCACAATTTTATTAGCCTGGGAGCTTACTCTGATGATTTGTTATGAGATTTTGATTTGAGACATATACTATGATGTTTTATGATACATGATTTATGATTTCACTAATGACTTTGGATGATTTATGATTTTTAATAATGGTTTGAAAACGAAATTTTTGGGTCATATTTTTGGGATGTTTCATAAAGACCTTGGGAACTTAAGCTACTTTCTAGGCCTTGAAGTTTCATATATGGATAAAATCTCTTTCTTACTCAAGCTAAGTATATGCATGATATTCTCACACGAGCAAGTATGTTGGAATCCAAACCCACCTCTACCCCATTGTCCATAACTGATCACCTCACTACCACTGGAGTTCAATTCTCGGATCCAACTCTCTTTAGATCGCTAGTCAGTGCACTACAATATCTTAAAATCACACGTCAAGATATTTCTTATGTAGTGAATCAAGTTAGTCAATTCCTTCATGCACCAACAGACGATTATTTTCAAGTTGTCAAATGCATACTACGCTATGTCAAAGGTACTCTCTCCTTTGTTTTGCACTTCAGAAAACCTCATACCTCCTCAATAGTTGGATTTTCTTATGTTGATTAGGCTCAGTGCATTGAAACTCGTCGTTCCACTTATGGGTATTCCATATTTCTTGGGGGTAATCTAGTCTCGTGGTATGCCAAAAAGCAACCTATTGTATCTCGTTCAAGTTGTGAATCAGAATATTGTGTCATGGCCAACACTGCTTTTGAGATCGTTTGGGTGATACACTTGCTTAAGGATCTCCAAGCCTTACTTGCTTCGATTCCCACCTTACTGTGTGATAACAAAAGTGCACTTTTTCTCAGTTAGAATCTCGTTGCTCACAAACGTGCCAAACACATTGATATTGATTATCACTTTGTTAGAGAACTTGTTGCCTTTGGGAAACTTCGAACCAAATATATTCCCACGCATCAACAACTAGCTGATATATTCACCAAGAGTCTTCCTATACCTCTTTTTGAACACTTTCGCACCAAGCTTCGAGTTGGTCCTCCATCGCTCAGCTTGACGGGGGGTATTAGCAATATATAGACTTAGAGATAACATCGTTTGTAATTTAAATAATTATCTCTTAGGCTAGTTATTATCTGTTGCATTTCTTGTACATATTATATATATGTAACGAAAGGCACGTATAATTCAAGGAAAATAAATCTTATACAACGTTATCATATAAATCATTATGTCTTGGCTTAGTGGTGTCAAAGAGGCAAGCGTTCCAATAAATTTTAAGACCCAAAAATCAGTAAGAAAAATATCATCAAGATTTATATTTGCTCAATCTTTAGTTGAGTTTAATCCACCCACATAGACCATCCCTTAGCTATAGTAAAGTTTGGGTATTGAATTTCTTATTAGATGCTAACTTGACACCATAATTGACATGCTAAAGAACAAGAAACAAAAATATGTTCAATGGAATCAATATCTTCATCATATAACATAACGAGCACACACAACAAAGTTTGGGCACAATGATATATCATTCAAATTAGCCATCTATAACCACTTTAGGATAATTCTTCATCCCAAGGTATTGAGTTTAATATACACTTTTCCTACCTTGTAGTAACATCTCATATAAGGATGCACAAAAGAATCGTATTCGGGCCAAAATTTGATCCAACCCAAAAATCGAATTTAACTGATCAGCAAAACTAGATATGATAAATATGATCCGTTGGATTAGGAAACACATCCATATCCTGTGTATACAACCGTGTTTGACTGTGGATCAAAAACCGAAGTCGTGAGATTATCAAAAGAAGTTAATGTTCTATCACGCACTCTTTTGTAAAAGTGTATATAGTGAGATCAATATCTTTTGTACAAAGATTAACAAAAGAATAAACAGTGGTCTACCAAACACCTCTAGTTTTGGGCCTTGATATAACCAAACCCTCTATTATTTATCATGAATAACTTTGATAAGCAAGGAAAGGTATTTGTCCCATATAGGAATTTCCAACAATTTCCAACTGCATAAAGCATTACATGATTTGTAGCAAATAAATTATCAATATCCAAATCACCTTCACCCTTAGAAGCTATGACTTTATTCCTTTTGGTCTAACACATCTTATGTGTCAATCTCCCCTTACCAAAAGAATTGACAATGTAATATCTCCAAGAATTTTAGAATCAAATTTGTAGCTCGAAAAAGAGAAAAAAAAAAGCAAAATATAAAACTTCCCAAAACTAGTTTTAAGAGAGTACCGCCACCTATATAAAGAGCTTTCACTTTCCTCCTTGGCAGTTTACTTATAAAATGGTGAATAACAACTTTTCACCCGTTTGTATTTTACATATCACACCCAATTGGCATGCCAAGATACATATAATCAAAGATACTCGATCAACATCCCATAAGCATAGCCATTTCGTTACAAGAACCCGTTAAAATTGGTTAAAAATCATATAAATAAAACTGATTGAAAAACCTATGTTTCAACATTGTTGTCGCGTTTTGGTGAAGGAGTTAGGATTTGACAAAATTATCACGGTTGATGAAAAGTGAGCCAATCAAAAATTATTGGTACGTCATGTAATTGTTTTCGAACACTCAAGGAGTCAAGTTTGTTTAGAGGTTCAAAAATAAAAAGATTTTATGCGGAAAAGTCTTATTATTTTGGAAAAATTGTGATAAAGTTCTAAAAGTTCTTTTTTTTAACAGAAAAGTCTTATTATTTTGGAAAAATCACATAATTTGTACTTTCCTGTTAAAATATGAAAAATGACTTTTTCATTAATTTGGACAAAATATTAAATAATCGGGACTTTTCCATTCAAAAAAAATACTTTTAGAACATTATTAAAAAATTTCTCAAAATAATGAGATTTTTCTGCATAAACCCAAAAATAAAATGTTTCATTCAAGATTGTTTAACCATCAAAACATTTCTTGTAAAACCTATGACCACCAAAACTTATGTGGTCAAAATCTAAAAGGCAGAAAGTATCGTGGCAAAAGTAGTAAAAACAAAAAAGGAAATGTACATAAAGCTCCCCAGAATTCATGTTATATACTATTGATGGGAACGATTTTTTTCTATTTAAAAGCGCTTTAACCGAAAGCAATTCCAATCCGCTCAAACTTATACTAACAAACGGTTCGGTTTCAAACTGGATTGATTTCTTTCAAACCGGCTTTTCCTTTCCGAGAAATTAAATATCCTCCTATTTTTCTTCCTAATTATCTTCCTACCCATTTGAAATGATGACAAGTGTCTTAAAATATTATTAGTTTTATCTAAATATGACACTTGTCACAATTTCATATGGGTAGGAAGATAAGTAGGAAGAAAATGTTTTGTACAATGCTAGTTTTATGTATATTTTACGACGAAAAATCAATTTTATAGAATTTGCCCAATATCGGGCTGGTCCAATAAAAACATCGGCCCAGTCAAAGCCTACTGATCACCGAGTCCAAACCACAAGAAATGTTTCTTCTACTATCTGAGACTGAGAGTATCTGATACAAAACCGGCCTAGCCCAATCAGGCCCAATGAGACCAACCCACGTGTTCATCTCAGTTCTCAGCTGCTTAGCACCCCACTCTATGCCATGGTTCATATTCTACATAAACACGGCAAATCTCTTTGCTTTTTTTTAAAAGGCAAGTCGACAAATAAATAGTTGTAATAAGATCAAATATTATTTATCATGATTATTGGAATCTTGACTTCCCAAATGCATTGATTTTATGAAAACGTTCATTCTACGTAAATCTACAATTTTCTTAGGGTTAGGCAAACCCATGTCATGGAAGTGGTCCTCCACTTATTCGACAATATTTTGACTTATTTGACGCTATATTTGTAACCATAATTTAAATTATAACTTGATTTGAGCTAATTAGTTGAATTTCACCAAGTTCAAATCTAAACACCAAGCAAACTTACAATGACTCAATTTGGATTCTTCTTGCGCTTTCATGTCGCACTTGTTGCTTAGGTATCTCAAGTTGAAATTTAATGTAACATTGCTCAAATTCATCGCCATTTTTACACAGTTTCAATGTTTAGGAATAACATAACACCAAATATGATAGTGCCATTCATTGACACCAAATTTATTGTTACTTACAATTTGTTTATTCAACTTTGAACTTTATACATTTTAAGAAGATTGAACTGTTGTTATTCCATAACCATTAAGGTGGTGCCTTATTGGAATATTAGGAATAGATATGCATTAAGAAAATAGCCATAGAAATCAATTGGGTTTATAATTTCTTTACCTTAATTCAAGATAAGATCAGAAACAAGTTTTAATTTCACTTAATCACTTATTACTAACAACAAAAACTAACATTCCGCATCATAAAACACATTCGATTCTAGACAACAAAGTTTCAAAACCTACTACCACAAACAATTCAAAATCCAAGATAATAAACAAGAACCAACATAATCAGAAAAACATACCAAACTCAATAAAGATCACCTTCTTTGTGGGTATGAATCACACAATCAGAAGTCGGGTAAGAAATGCAAGTCAACAAGTATCCCTCTTTCATTTGATTATCATCAAGAAAAGACCCATCAGACTGGTCAACACATCCAGTAGCCATCTTTCCAGCACAGGTTGAACACGCACCAGCTCTGCAAGAATATGGCAGTTCAATTCCAGCGTTTTCAGCTGAATCAAGAATGTAACAATCATCAGGTGCTTCAAATTCATTCTCTTCTCCATCTGGTCCAACTAGCGTGACTTTGTATGTTGCCATGGCTGTTGTCCTGAAAGACGACCCTGATTTCAAGCCAAAAGCTTTTGAGATGCTCTTGATTGATGGAAGAGTGGAGGGGCATTTTAGGAAAGCGCTGGGGGTGGTGGAGGTTTTGGGTGTGGTTATGATGGTGGTTGGGGTAGTAAGTCTGATGGCCGACATTTTGTGACCTGAAAAACATTCGTAAGTTAGGGCTTCAATTCGCTATGTAAATGATAACAATTGAATGTATCAAAGACATGATCTATGTAAATTTCGCAATCCTTCATAGATTTCAACAAGTAATTTCTCATGCATGTAAGCTCTCATCGCAACAAAAAGTTTTCCCCAATTTTGTAATTTTCTACTGAATTCTTAGATGTTGAATCAAATCAAGTACAATTTTTTTCGCTATGAAAGAGTGTTAATTGACGCAACAAGTTACAGTACACACGATTCGAAAAGGAACACCGCTGAAACAGATCTAATCAAACTCAGATGATAATTTCGTGACGATATCAACTTACATCTACGATTAGAACAGACATAAATTAATCACCAACCAGTCAACCACTAGGAAATGAACAGATACACATAATACAGAAAACTACGGCATTAACTATGAAGATCTCTGGACGAAAAAAATAGCATAAGAACAACAGATCAAAGAAAAATAGGATTTGAAGTTTACTTACGGAAGAGAAATACAATGAAGCGGAGGAATCGAGGTTTATGAAAATTTGAGAAGGAGGGTTTATTTATAGAGAGGAGAAGGGGGTTGGAACTTGGAAGGTGGCGTTTGGCATCTATAGAGAGACGAAGAATTGAGTTAACCAAATGATACCCTAACTGCACAGACAAACTCGCCGCTTTTTTTTTTTTTTTAATTGTTTAAAAAGAGTTAAATTTTTTTTATACTTTATAGTTTATAGTTTGGGTTATTTCCATAAAAGACCCTACATTTTGATTTTTTTTTCTTTTTAGACCTAAAAGTTTTTTCTTTTCCGAAAAAGACCAAACTTTTACCTTTTACTTGTTACTTTAAACCCTAATAGGTAAATTAAGTATTTTTATTTCATAAAAGACCCAACATTTTGTACTTTTTTCCAGTTTAGACCTAAAATATAAAAAACGTGATTATATCCTTTAGTTTAAAAATATACATCGATTTAAACAATATAGTTATTATGCCTACATTTATTTATGATTGTAAAATTCTTTGTCCATGTATATTTATAAAAAAAGACCTTATATTTTGTAGTTTTTTCCGTTTTAGACCTAAAATGTTTTTTTTTTCAAAATAAACTCAACTTTAAAATTGGTTATAATCTTCAAGACCAAATATATAAGGTACTTTTTTTATTACGCCGAAAAAGAAAGTACACATGTATACACTAAAAAATATTATCTGATCTATTATCTTTTGAACGAATATAACCTAGAAGAATTGCAAAATTTTATTTTTGTCTAAAAGATATATCTTGGATATATATTATATCATTAAACTTGATATATTATTTATAAAAAATGTTATTATTACTGCTAATAAAAAGTTCGATGTTAATTTGATATTTTTTTGTAACATGGATAATACATGGCTAGGAAGAATCTTTTAGCATAATAACATTTTTTTTTATTTGTAGGAAATAAACATACCAGGTAATTTAACAAAACTGTATACAAAATATTTTTTTTTAGTTTGTCTATTATACTTATTTCGTGAGTTTGGACATATTTCCCTCTCTCACTTTTCTATATTATTTTTTTGGTTGAATTTTTTAATCAATTTTTTTGGAACAGTTAACAAACGAACTAACTATCATACTCCTAAACCAAAGCCATAGAATATTTTGTAGCATTAGCCCGTTATTGAATAATATGGTATAACTATATCAAATACATACATAAAAATATTAATCCTAAACATTCATAATAGTTTTGTTTAGATATATCAAATTCAAGTTTTGTTTAAAATTGCAAAATCTTATTTTGTATACAGTTTATTAAATTACATGGTATATTGTTTTTTTCTACAAATAAAAAAGTTGTTATTATGCTAAAAGATTCATCTTAGCCATGTATTGTCTATGTTACCAAAAAACATCAAATTAACATCGAACTTTTATTAGCGGTAATAATAACATTTTTTATAAACAATATATCAAGTTTAATGATATAATATATATATATATATATATATATATATATATATATATATATATATCCAAGATAAAGTTTAATTATATCTTTTAGAAAAAAATAAAATTTTGTAATTCTTCTAGGTTATATTCGCTCAAAAGATAATAGATCAGATAACATTTTTTGTGTATACATGTATACTTTCTTTTTCAGTATAGTCAAGAAGTACCTTATATATTTGGTCTTGAAGATTATAACCAATTTTAAAGTTGAGTTTATTTTGAAAAAAAAAAACATTTTAGGTCTAAAATGGAAAAAAGTAACAAAATATAGGGTCTTTTTTTTATAAATATACGTGGAAAAAGAATTTTCCAATCATAAATAAATGTAGGCATAATAATTACATTGTTTAAATCGATGTCTATTTTTAAACTAAAAGGATATAATCATGTTTTTATACAATTAGTCTTGAAATAAAAAACATTTTAGGTCTAGATTGGAAAAAAGTATAAAATATAGGGTCTTTTATGAAATAAAAATACTTAATTTACTTGTTAGGGTCTAAAATAACAAGTCAAAGCTAAAAGTTAGGTCTTTTTCGGAAAAGAAAAAAGTTTTAGGTCTAAAAAGAAAAAAAATCAAAATGTAGGGTCTTTTATGAAAATAACCCTTATAGTTTATACAAATATAAGTTTTGTTTTTCCCCTTAAAATATATAACAAAATAAGTTTTCAAATAAACTATTCAATTATATTTCATATTAACACTAAGTTATTCGATGATGGCACATCAAATCTTCGATGTGACCTGTGAAAATGTGTTGACGTTGTAAACTTCTCAGACTCAAACATCATATTTTTTCTAAATTTTTCGTTTCCGAAGACCAACGAATTCCGATAAGTCCAAAACACTCGTATTAAAGTTACACAAACTATTTTAGTTATCAGTTCTTTTTTATTGTCTCTCGTTGCGGACTAATATGGTAGCATGATGTTAAAAATGCATTCATGACTATCGACTTGAGTGAGGAGGTTTTTATCGACAATGTCTAAGTTATGTTCATTCCTCTTTTCTAAAACATGTTAGTCAAGTTAAAAAGGATCTTTATTGCCTCAAACAAGCATCTTGTGCTTACTATCACTGGTTTGTTATTTATCTTTCTTCCTTATATTTCCATAGTAACAAATTCGATACTTCCATCTTCACATTTCATCACAGACATGACATTATCTATCTACTTCTCCATGTTAATGACATTATTCTTATTGCATCATTCACCATGATTAAGTTTTTCATCTCCTTCCTTTCAATCAAATTTACAATTACTAACTTATGTTATCTCTTGTATTTTAATGGAATTATGACTTCTCGCTCAAATTCTAGACTCTTTCTTTCTCAATATGTGTTTTATGGTAACACAAAAACATTTGAATATGCTCTCATGTAATCCTCAAAACACATACGGACATAAAATTCACATTTCCCTCTAACAGTAAACTACTTTCAAATACAACTCTTTATTGTACCCCATTTGGTTCCCATTCAAACCGAAATTTCCTCATCCTGAACTAACTTATGTGGTCTACCAAGCTTGCGTCTATATGCATGATCCACGTAAGCACTATATGAATGTGCTAAAATGCATCATTTGCTATCTTTAGGGCACTCTCAGTCATTGGCTTCAACTTCATCCGTCAATGGTATTTCATTTGGTCTCTTACATCAACATAAAGTCGGTGGGATGTCATGAAATGCATTGATCTATGTATGTTTGTTGTGTCTTTCTTGATGATAACAAATTGTCTCTTGTTTCGGTGTCAAATTTGAATGTTGCGATGTTGTTATTGTCGTTGTAGAGGTTGTTTGGTTTCACAATCTTCTTTAACTTCACTGGCTTTTGTCTCGTGCAACGATATTCTTTTGTGATATATATTGTAACCCAAACGATAGGAACCTGACAGTCGACGTGCGAAATTCCATATAGGAGTTCAAGGTTCAAACATTGTTTTTCTAACATATCACTAGTGCTCCATGATTTATCCCCATGTGATGGGACCTGAGGTTGGTTCGGTTCGACATGTACTTGTAGGAAGTTCAAATGGTACAATTTATTATTTCTTTTTAAATTTACATGTATGACCTTTGCCACATTAGAGTTCTAGATGTCCCGTCTTCTCACCAATGTGCTCATATCTTAACGAATGAGTTACCCTCGAAGTAGATGTTTTGATTTTAGGTCTAGTTTGAACATTTGGAAACTACGACTCGAACCGGAGAAGATTTGTTAAATAAATAATGTTTAGTATTGCTTGTTTATTTTGTATAGACTTTAGGGGGTTATATGAATTATTGTCAATCGTCATATATTCTATTGCAATTTACCACAAACTCCAAGGTTTTAGTTTGTCCCCATTCAATAAGGAATAATTTGTTTATAGAAAAAGAATTGCTAATAAATAAAGTAATATTTAGTAGTCGATCACATTAAGCTCGTGACTACAGTTGGATTCGTACAAGGCTATCTTTTGTAATATGATACTTCTTGTTCAACATTCTGTACTTAGTATAATAAAGATCTATATCGCCTTAAAACTAAACTCGAATCAATTATGCTCTTATTAATCTTTATAAGTGTGCTTTTTCTTTTCATACAACAGTTTTTTGGTAAAAGATTTTTGTTGTTGTACTTTTTGTATATTAGTATCATTATAATCGAGCTTTGATTTTAGTTCCTAACTATTTTTCATTTATTATCTAATAATTTGCTTCATACAGCTAATTATTATTAATATGCTTTTACTAAAATAATTCAATTTGAAGCACCAAACACCCAAAGTCTAAATTGGTCACATAAGAGGTTTTTAGAGCTAAATAGGGGCCCTACAATTCTACAAATGATTGAGTGGCTCTTAGCCATGACTAATAGGTATTCTTCATTTCGTCTATTCGTAACAAAGCCACCTTCTTTCTTATTCATTTAATATCTAAAGAAATTTACTAAAATAACTAGTCTTTCCTTTAAATGATTTTTCATCATAGATAAAAATAAAAGAATTTCAAAAATGCTTAAAATAGCCATGGTTTTCACAGGCGAATACAACTCTTACAAGAAATTTGATTTATATTTTATTATACATTTTTATTTGTATTATAATATTAAGTTTTGAAAAACCCATCGATATGTAGAAGTATCATTTAGATGCACAATAGCTTTAATGCATAACTGAAAATTTCATTAAAACTCGACTTTTCTATAAGAAGAAAAATGAAGACAGCAAACTGTACTTAGGTTTATAATATTAATGTGATAAATTATATAATAGTATAAACTAGCTTTTAGCTTTTATGTCTTTTTACCTTTTTTAAATTTCACAAATTTTGCTTTGTTTATCAAGTTAAATAAACACTTTTAAATAAGCGACTTCATGTTAACTTTATCAATAAGTAGACCATATTAAAAACATAATCCTCATAGCAAAATCCAATACAATTAAAAATTAAACATCCAACAAAACCAAAAAAACATAAAGCAAAAATTGCTTCCAAGTACTCAATTCACTAATCTTTGTCTCCAAACAAAAACAAATCCCAAAAAAAACAACCTAAAAAATACGCACTGGCTTTCCCATTGTTGTCTTCAAATACAAACACCTCACCTGTTATCAATATCATCCAAACAACAACAATTAGTTTCAAAACTTTTTTAAAAAAACTTTAAATTATTAAAAAAAAGAGAACTCACATTTTGCCAATTCTTCTTCAACAATGAAACAAGAAAGTTAACACTCATTTGAACATTCTGAAAAATCTGCTTCTCTTCCATGCTGCAGTTTCCAACAGCAACTCCCATACACAAAACCTTCTTCAATTGAAATTTCACAGTTGCTTTAGTTTCATTTACTTTTGCTTCAAGGGATTCTTGATGAGAAACAAGTGTTGGGAATTTTCCTGAATTTTAACATATACAAATATAAGTAAATAAATAATACATTTATGTCATTAAAACTATGTTTAAAAAATTCTACCCGCTTTGTTAAGACCAGGGCCTAACAAACGAGGAATCTGCTTAATGACAGATTCAGAAGCCAAAAAAGCTTGGTGCTTTTTCGCAAGCTTTTTCACAAGCTTCTTGTTCTTGTTCAGCTTCTTGAGCCCTTCAACATCCATGTATTCAAGTCCAATCTTTTGTGCCTACATAAGTATTCAAGAACATGTTAAATGAAATATTAAAGATATGAATCTTTTTGGTGACTTGAGTATTGTTTTATGATAAAGAGAAAGCTTATTACCTCTTCAACATGTTGGGCATCTCCAAGCATGCAAACTTTCAATTTAGGTCTAGGAATGTGAGGCAATTTGACTGTTCCACTGAAACGTTTGTCCTTTTGTGGGTCGTAGTTCTTGAGTCCAATTTGGAGTTCAATGGTTTCAGTGAAATTACGCTTCTTCTCTTTTGCATCTGTGGTGATTTGAGTAATGGCTTCTCTTAGGGCTTCACTCTGAAGCTTACTGTGAAAGCAGATATTGAGATATTAATTGTTGAATTAGTTGTGAATCAGCCGAAACATGTGAATTAGTTTTAAAATGATGCGCATTTATAAGAATCGGCATAGAAACAGAGAAAATAGTTTTAATTTGAAGAGCAACACTATAAATCTCCTGTGGATCGAGAATACTACACGTCTATTGGAATTGTTAAAACATACAGAAAGTAAACATAATCTTGATTAATTAAATAAAAATTCGATTCGATTATTAAAAACTCGCAACAAATGTTAAAATCTCTGTATAGCATGAGTCGCATAGAAGGTAAAAAGTTTTTGAGAAAAGGAAAAACTCAAATGGCTGAATCTACACACATACCTCATGGTTGTTAACTGTTGCTGCCTTAAACTTCACTTCTGCATAGACATAAAACAGAGTATAAGCTATCAATTTCATCATCAATCGTATACTACATTCAGGCATAAAAAAACCTAAACCGATCGTCAATCGTATACTACATACTATTTATCATCAACTCCTCCAAATGTACAAAGAAATGGAGCATACAAAATCGATTAAACGGTTATGATTAGAACAAGATGCAAATAAAAGGGGAGAATGAGATTGAGAGGCTAAGGAAGATCTTTACCTTCTGTGAGAACCCTATCAGGGTAGCAGCAGTGCCGAAGAAGTTCAAAGGGAAACAGCGGCCGAGCTATCCAAATGAAGTTAATATGGAGGCGAAACCCTAATTGGGCCTGGGTCGTGGAAGTCTTCACTCTTCACTCGAAATCATATTATTGGGGCCGGAAGCCCGGAATCATATAATTATCGGCCCAATTTCTTTCATTTACTTTAATCAAAATAAATATAAATATTAAAAAAACTATAAACAACTAAAATTATATATATATATATATATATATATATATATATATATATCAGTATTAGACTTATAATTTATATATATACAAAATTACAAATTTACAAAATTACACAAATGGTCCTTAAGGTTTGTAGTGTATGGTAAATTTAGTACAAGGGTAAAATAGTCTTTTTCATAAAAATCTAACAGCTAAAAAGTTAGATTTAACGACAAGAACACCATTCATGAAATTTTGCAAACCACAGAAACCAGTGACATGTCGTTTTCCATGAAAAATCTAACCATAGTGACTAATTATGAAACTTTGTCTAATATCAATATTTATTATGGTTTCAAAATCCATAAGAGTTTTCATTACATATCTCCATTTGTGAAATAAAAAGATTTTGCTTTCATTTTTATGTCTTTCTTTTTCTATTATTACATCTGTTATTATAATTAAATAAATGCTCCACTTATTCCACCACTGCCACTTTATGCTTTAGTATTTTAAAAAGTTGTAGAGTAAAATGATAAACTATTCTCTAAAATTTATAAGTCGACAATAATGATGGATGAATTTTTGAAATTTGTAGAAATATTAAAATGAGTTTTTATTTATTCTATAAAATTTAAAGATGTAGACGAAATAATAGACTAAATATTTTTTTTAAAGTTATTTTATATAAGTTGCATATTAAACTCCAATTTTTTATTACTAAGACAGTGATGAAGCCGGTAAAAGTAAATGAGTATTCCAAAACAAATTGCATAATATACAATAATAAAAAAATAAAAACAGCAATTTCATTAAATATAAAGTACAATTTTCATAATAAAATTACGTTTTAAAGTTCATATCTACGTTCTTTCATTTTATTTAAACGAGTAATTACATTTTAAGTCTTAACATTTTTAAGTATTTTCTTTTCTATACTAAAAATCAAAACACTATTCATAAATTTCACCTGAGTTATATTTAAGTTGTTGTTGGTAAATACGGTATTGATGACGTCTTTAAGAGTCAAAGAAGATGTGTAATGCCCATTTTGATTTCAGGTATGTCATTATGATTATTTTTATAGTTAAAAATAACAACAACAACTACAACAACAATAATAATTAAAATATTAAAATAAACCAATTTATTTAGTATAAATAAGATTTATATGTCCAAGGGTATTGTGCTAATTCTATAAATCAATTTGCTAAAGAATTTCGGTTTAGGGGTAGATTTTATCATGGGCGTCTTCAAGGACCAAAGCTGATTTTTTCGGAAATTGTTTTGTCTCTTTCTTCTCCACACAACAAGCAACGACGTATTCTCGTTTCAGCACTTGCAATAATCGAATATCTAAAAGTAATTTATCAGAGTGAGGGGAGGCTACCCCAGCGCCTCTCTTCATTTCGTTGGTCGATTTTTTTTCCGTTTTCTGATTTCCAACGATAACATAAAAAAAACCTTTTTTTCCCAACGACTACGACAATAAATTGTTGAAAATTATGTTTTTAATACATTTACCACTCTATAAATACCAAACTAACCTAACATAATTCACACTTATTTCTACATATTCTCTAAAAAAATCCACTCAACCACAATGTCATAATCATCATCTTCGTCCTCCGATTCGATGGCACAGGAAGAGACATTATTTGTCGGTTTCGTCATAACTAAAACAGTGACGTATTTCTGAAACCAACAAGGTCAAAGTTCACGTTCAAAACCTCAAATAAGAAGACCTCCATTGAGGAGAAATCGTGAAGGCGGGGATAATCGTCTTATAGAAGACTATTTTGTAGACAACGCCGTGTACACTGAAAAGTTTCGACGACGGTTTCGGATAAGGAAAGAGTTATTTTTACGTATTGTTGAAGATTTGGAAGGTCGATTTCAGTTTTTCCAATGGAAGCGGAATGCGAGACGTAACAAAGGTTTTTCTCCAATTCAAAAATACATAACTGCAATTCATCAGTTAGCATACGACATGGGGACAGATAAATGGGACGAGTATTTACAGATGTCTGAGCGTACCACACGGGATAGTGTGTACAAGGTTTTTCACTCCAGCATTGGTGCTCCACCGTATGAGTTGTTATATGGGCGGAGGTGTCGCACCCCGGTCTGTTGGTGTGAGGTGGGTCACAGGGTGATGGGTCGGACCGAGGTAGTCCTGTAGACTACCGATATGATTCAGCAGATTAGACAGCGGCTGCAGACCGCACAGAGTCGGCAGAAGAGCTACGCTGACAAACGCCGATCTGAGTTGGAGTTTCAGGTCGGTGACATGGTACTCCTGAAGGTCTCACCCTGGAAGGGTGTGATCCGCTTCAGGAAGAGGGGGAAACTGGGTCCCCGCTACATTGGGTCGTTCAAGATCATTGCCAGGGTTGGCAAGGTGGCATATAGACTCGAGTTACCAGAGGAGCTTAGTCAAATCCACGGTACCTTCCACGTTTCGCAATTGCGGAAGTGTGTTCTGGATGAGGAGGCGGTGGTGTCATTAGACGATATTCAGGTCGATGAGCGCCTGAATTATGTCGAGAGGCCGGTAGCAGTTCTGGAAAAGAAAGTGAAGGTTCTACGGAACAAGAAAGTACCTTTGGTAAAGGTACAATGGGAGCACCGGAGGGGATCCGAGTGGACTTGGGAGCCGGAGGCTGAGATGCGGGAGAATTATCCCTAGTTGTTCACCGCAGCAGACTTCGAGGACGAAGTCTAGTTCAAGTGGGGGAGAATTGTAACGCCCCGACTCTTAGGTATTAATTTTATGGCTTTAATTTTCATAAATTGCAAGGTCTACTCGACGAGTTGGATGCACTGACTCGTCGAGTAGGAGCGGGTTTGGCCACGTGTTAAGTGACCGACTCGTCGAGTCCAAGATAGGACTCAACGAGTAGGAGCTAGGGTATGAAACCCTAATTTTCGGGGTTTTGCACCCTATTTAAAGGATCATTAGCCTCCTTTAGCCCCTTACAGCCTCTTGAGAGTCCATCAAACCATAATCCGTGTGTGTGCTCCATTCTTGTGTATTTTAAGCTTTGGAAGGTGGATCTTAGTGAGAAAAGCTTGGAGAAACAAGTGGCTAGAAGCAAGGAGAGTGTGGGGATCTGAAATCTACCCCAGTTAGCATCTTCTGAAGGTATCAAGTCGTTACCTTGACCTCATTTCATTCTAGATATCATTTGGCTAAGATTAGGGATTTTTTTAGCATATTAGGAAGCTATTATTGGGTATAAGTTAAGATCTGAAGTTGCAACTTCAGATCTGAACTCTCTTTGGTCTCTAAGTCCATAAAGCTTCCAACTTTAGCAAGTATGAACCTCTCCTTAGGTGTAAAACTCCATCACAAGCTTGGTTTTGACATTATAAGTCTTTAGAGCCTTGCATGCATGTAAAGTTTGCAACTTTATGTGATAAACATGCCTTGGGAAGCTAGATCTGCAATATGGAACCTTAAAATGGCTTAAAAAGCATCTGAATGGATAATGGACTGAAGGGACTCGGTGAGTTGCATGGCTAACTCGGTGAGTCCAATGAAGATTGTCGTGCAAGGACTTCTGCATGGACTCGGCGAGTCAGTGGGGTGACTCGGCGAGTCAACTAGGGTTTTCCCGACATTTGGACATGCATGAACTCGACGAGTCAACCAAGGATTTCACAACTTCTCGAGTTCAGGAAGGACTCGACGAGTCGGTGAACTGCACTCGACGAGTCGGGTCAACATGGACTGTTGACCTTGACTGTTGACTTTGACCAAGGGTTGACCAGTTTGACCTCTTGGGGTATTTTGGTAATTTGGAAATTTATGGAAATGGTTTTATGGTAACTATAGGTGGTGGAGTTCGTGTCGGTGATTCGAGAGTTGAACTTATCGCTTTAGTGCGACATTTGTGAGGTGAATTACCTCACTATACTAAGGGTCTAAGGCACCAAGGTCGGCCCATTGGATATGATATCGTAGCAGTGGTAGTATGTTGAGTATGAGTTAGTGTTGCATGCTAGTTGCTATGCCAGTTAGGTAGAGCTGTAGGACTACTTGTAGTTTTATGTGATCATGTGTATGTGCATTAGTTGTGTTATATGTCGACATATTATGTGGGATGGGTTGAGGTGATACTGCTCCGTGCGGTAACCAACAAACCCGGGAGCATTCCAGATATGAGTTGAGGGCCAGGTGGGGCATGCCAGACTCGTACTGTGGGCTCGGGAGCATTCCAGATACGAGATGAGGGAGACTCGTACTGTCGGCTCGGTGGCAATCCAGATGTGATATGTGGGCCCGGTAGGCAATCCAGACTTACACTGTGGGCCCAAGGGTAATCCAGACTGTAAAGTTGTGGACCCAGTACATGTTGTTATTTGTAAATGTGTTATATGCAGTGTATCGGTATTTTAGGGGAACTCACTAAGCCTCGGGCTTACAGTTTCAGTTTATTGTTTCAGGTACATCAGGGGATCGCAGCAAGGCAAAGGCGTGATCGTACAGCTCCTCATATTTATGTTTATGTTTCTGGGATACTCTGATATTATACATTTTGAAAACAAGTTTTGTAATGATTAATGGTTTTGAAATGTTTTAAAAGTTTAAATTTGGCACGATTTTTATGGGTGTTACACATCACCATTAAAACATAAACCTACAAGTGGGTCAACGATAGTGTCGACGATGGATGGTGGTCACTGGAGAAAAACAAAGGAAGTCGAAACGATTAGGAGGCGGAACGAAGGGTAAGGAAGAACAATGGGAAAGAGTGTGTTTTTTATTGTGTGTGTTCTTGTGTGTGTGTGTGGATGTGAGAGAGAGAGAGAGAGAGTGTGTGTGTGGGGGAGTCATCGTGACTATTTTTGTGTAAAACAAAGGGTATTTTCGTCATTTTACAAACACTTAACAAAATCTGTTAACAAAGTTAGTCATAAGAACCATTTGCGTGCAAGGTTTGCTCCAAAGAGACCATCCATGCAAAAAAAAGTTTCAGAAGGACTATATTAGGGAAAAAAACAAAAAGAATTATAAACTCTAACATTTAACAAATGTTAGTCTCCTGTACATAAGAGCATATCACTCTATAGTGATATTATTATGCTTTACTACATTTTTTTTTTCCAGATTTAGAGGACTCAAGGGCATGCTCTAGATTCTTTCTCAACACACAAGAAAGCCCATAATACATATGTTCAGGCTTACAATTTTAAGTCCTCGATCTAATTTTAACCAATATACTAACAGATAAAATAGTAATTAATATTTTTTATTAAATTTAATTACTTACTTAATTTTGTAGGTTGATTTTTTTTGTCATTTTGTAAAAGTATTACCTTCTAAATTATTCTTGATAAGCAAATACTTAGAAAAAATTGCAAAAATGGTCCCTGTGGTATGCATTATTTTGGGGTTTTAGTCCAAACCACGACTTTTTTTAGGTTGGTTGCCCTTTTTAGGTAGTTTGCTTGTGATTTTGGTCCTTCGGTAAACTGAAAAGACTAAATTGGCCTTATTATATTTATTTTCCATTTTCTTTTTTTTCCTATAAGTATATATATATATATATATATATATATATATATATATATATATATATATATATATATATATAAAATAAGAGCCCACATACCTCTCTCTCTTTCTCTCCCTCTCTCTCCCCTTGACGCATACAATACAAATCACCCAATTCATCTTCTTTATCCATCCTTCCCATTTTGCATTGGAAAACATACTTGCAATCATTCTTGGATCAAGGTTTTGTAACAATTTTTTGATGATTTCTTCACTATGTGAGCAGTTTTGGTGGAATCGTGGTTTTTACCGGAAGGGGGCAACAGAGAGGTTTGACTAGACCTTTGGTGGTGTAGGCAGATGAAGTTTTTTGGATTAAAATAAACACGTAAGAGATTTAATCGCAATTTACAGGTTTTCTTCTTCGTCGGTGTGGATTTAAGTAGAGGGTTTGTCAAGAACTCTAAAAACACAAGAAATTATCAGGTTTTCTTCTCTTAATCTTATTCTGGGGCGAGCGATTAAGAGTTAAGACTTTATTGAGAACTCTTGATTAGAACACAGAAAGAGAATCTATGAGGAATCAAAGGGGGAAGGGATTTTGTTTGTGTAATTTAGGTATAAGGGTTTGAATTCAGGAAGAACACAATGGATATCATTCAGTTGACTGTTAACATTCCGACAAGATGAAGTTGCCAAAGCCTTCCTCCTTGTGTTGGAAAGGGCTAGAGTTTCAAGAGCATCGTTCTTCTCCAATTATTTGAGTTCTTTGACAAGTAAATCTCAACAAGAATCGAAATTATGTCCTTCATCTCTTTCTTAGTTCCAGTCAATGACATGAGTCCATCTTCATGGACGGTAATTTCAGAATGTCGAACAAGTTCTCCAACATTCTCCATCAATGGCTT